TATATGCACCCACAAATTCACGAACAAAAGATATCAAAACAAATATCTGATATGCTCAAGCAGAGAATTATAAAGGAAAGTAATTTTGGATCTTTGAATAAGTCCTTTGTGGATTGTCCCTAAAAAGACTGACAATTCAGGACAGAAAAATTGGAGAACCGTGATCGACCACTGTAAGCTTAATACAGTTACGGTAGACGACAAGTTTCCCATTCCAAACATTGAAACAATATTGGACAAACTTGGCAGAGCACAGTGTTTTACTACCCTCGATCTCGCCAAGGGTTTTCACCAAATTTGAGTAAAGGAGGAGGATAGAAAAAAAACAGCCTTTTCTACTTCTCAAGGGCATTATGAATACATAAGAATACCCTTTGGCCTGAAAAATGCACAAGCCACTTTTCAGCGCGTAATGAGCTCTATTCTTAGAGATTCCATTAACAAAATATATGTTGTTTACCTCGATAGCTGAACATATTAATAGTATAAAATTAATTTTTAACGAATTACGTGAATTCAATCTTAAGATTCAATTCCATAAATGTAATTTTTTTTCGAAGCAAACTGAATATTTGGGCCATATTCCAACACTCGAAGGAGTTAGACCTAATCCCAAGAAAATGAGGGTATCCGTAAACTGAAATGACCGGAAACTCAAAAAAAAAAAAATAAATCATTTTTAGGTATGTCTGGCTACTATAAAAAATTTATTCGAGATTATGCTAAAATAGCCCAGCTTACACACAATGCCTAAAGCAAAATGTAAAAGTTAACCCTAATGATTCTAATTACATTAATTCGTTTGAAAAATTGAAAAAATTAATAACTGAAACCCCAGTACATAAATATCCTGATTTAAGTAAAAAATTTAAATTGGTAACTGATGCCAGTCAAAATGCAATTGGTGCAGTTATACAGCAAGATAACCATCCAGTATGCTTTGCAAGCCACTGAATAGGGACTATTAGCTATAGTTTGGTCGACTAATTATTTTAAGCCTTACCTTTATGGTGTTGAATTTGACTTACGAACTGACCATCAACCATTAAAATGGTTACACTCCAAAACTCAAGGCAAAAGAGGGGCGGGGGGTAACGAAGACTCAAATTCATTGCATAACAACTTTGATGAAGATAAAGAAACTTTGATAAAGAAACTGAAACTATACATAACAATAGAAAAATATTACTCTCAAGACTTAGAAAATTATCTTAGCCAGGTAAAATACGAATTTATAGTGATCTATCTGATAATCAATATAACATTTTACAACAGAAAATAAAGGAACTATTTAGTGATATTAAAGGAATTAAATTTGTCAATTGTTCATTTCATGCAAAAGATCTGAAAACAATGTAAGAAGCTTATAAACAAATAAATAAATATCATAGATTAGAAACCGGACATACTGGAATTTTAGAAATTTACGAGGGCTTGAATCGTAATATATATTTAACAAATTTTAAACTCCTTCTTCAAAAGTATATCAATAATTGCGAAATATGTAATAGAGTACAATATGATAGGAATCCTACAAAACAAAAATTTCACTGAAACTCCAGAAAATATTAAACAAATTTTACATAAGGATTTATACACTAATTCCAAATCAAACTTTAACAAGAGATAAATTTTCCAAATTTGCAACAACTTACTATCTTGAGGATAAGAATAATCAAATAATAATTGAAAAACTCAGAGAGCATTTATAAAAACTCAGAAAAATCGCAAAGAGAACATTTTAAAAAATTAATAACAGACAACAAATTCCGTAGTATGAATATAAAAGACTTTTTAAGAAATTTAGATATTGATCTTCATTTAGTCAAACCAAACTCACATATCGGTATTCTGACATCGAACGATTGCATAGTACTCTTATTGAGAAGACCTTAGTATTAAAGAAAAAATTTCTAAAGCTATAGAATGGTATAATAATAGTTATCATTCTACGACCAAAGAAAAACCAATTAATATTCAGGAAGGTAGATGCCATGTAAAAGTAATTCATAATAACATTGTTAAAGAAAAAACTAGATCTTTAAATAAAAATAATATAAAAAGAGAAGACTACCAAGATAATAGTGTAGAAGGCTATATAAAAAATTATAAAAGTGTTAGACACAAAGAGAAACCTAAATATATTAAACATAAATTAGATAATATTCATTCCTCCAATATTAAACGAAAAACTAAATTTTCAGGTAAAACTGATATTCAAAATGTTACTGCTGACGATAGTACTAACTTACTGACAGGGACAGCTTACAGTAGAACAGACTAATACAGACCTTGGTTATTCAGAAATAAAGTTAAATAACATTAAACTAGTTAAAACGGCACCATACTACATATAATTAATATTAAAGAAATTTTGAACATTCTAGACACTTTAAAAGGAAAAGAAAATACTCTACAATTTCAAATAGTAACAATCTGTACAAAAATACAAACATTAATTCCACATAGACAAAAACGAGGTTTAAGCAATTTTGTTGGCACAGTTCATAAGTGGCTTTATGGGACAATGGACCACACTGACAAATTAGAAATCGAAAATCATCTAAACGTCATAACACAAAATAATCATATGGCAATAACAAACATTAATAAACAAATAAAAATTAATCAAAATTTTAATGAATCCTCTGTAAAACTTAGGGAAGCTATTGAAAAGAACAGAGACATAATTTCAATATGATTAGTGAACATGACAAACAGTTATTTACACAATCTATTTATACTGACTATGCCTTAAAACTGAAAATTTTACAAGACTATATAGAACACCTGCAAAAATATCTCATCAACCAGATCAGGTACAATATACAGCAGTATTCAACAAATGAAGAAATTATTGAACGACATTGACTTTGATAAGCTCCAAAACATAAAATTAGGAACTTTAACAGGTGACAAAAATAATTTAATTTTCGCTATGAATATTCCAAAAGAATTTGTAGATTTAACAGTTTTATTACTACTACAAATAGAGAATTAAAATTTACCCAAGAAAATATTTTAAAATTCAATAGTAAAACTTTTACTTATATAAAAAATACAAATTTGAAAAATTTAAAACTATCAAGCCATTGCCTAGTTAAAAGAAATTGCAAAAAATCATTTAACAATGTATCAGAAATATTAGAAATTCAAGAAGGTTTAGTAATTGCAAAAAAATCAAAATAATCTAAATCTTTCAAATAATTGTGATAAAAGATTATTTCTCTTGAAGGGAAATTATTTAATTAATTTCAATAATTGCTCTGTAAAGACATTACAAACATTACATACATAAATAATGAATTAAAATTTGACGACATTATTTGCAACTTTAATAAAAATATAGAAATTAAGTACAAAAGAAAATGTTATTACATATATGAAATTATGGCATCTATTTTTATAATTACTATTTTAATTATCATTGTAATATTTGCCTGGAAGAGTTATATCATTGAACTTAAATGAAGTTAAATCGAAAGACGATACTTTATTTCTGTCGGTTTTCTTTATAAGGCTTAATAAAATTTTTCGTTAATAAAATTGGTTCCTATAAATTTCGAAATTCTTATTTTTTTTCTTTCTGTTTTTTCATACTAAAATTATACAATAACAAAAATGTTAGAAATCAACCGTAATTATTTCCACATAAAATTATTTTTCATAAAATTTTAAGTATCAAATTATATAATTCAATTTACACAGTTAAAATAATGACTCGTGACTAAATAACTTTATGTTTCCAAGTAACTGATATTAATAAAATAAATTTGAGTCCAATATATTATTATTATTAAGTTTGCTTTCAAAAAAGAAAAGACAAAGGGAAATTCTACTAAGAGACAAATTTACAATTTTCTATTTATGATAGCTAAAATCTTGCTAATTCCGTAAAATTTAAATAAGTGTTCAAAATGCATTTGCGAAATCTTCCGTAACACTTTAATTAAACTATTTTCAGATTTTTTTTAAATAAGAAGTATTTAAAATTAAAGTAGTATATAAATATTTAATTATTAAACCGCATTTAGCTATATTATTATTTTCTTTAAGTTGCACTTATGTATGTTATGTGATGTCAGGAAAATTATTTCCTTTATTAGTCATGTCCGCGATTGTTGTTTTGTGACGCTACTCGTATACGACCTATACAACAGCTGGAAAAATATTTGGTCACTGCATTGTGAAAAAAATATTCTTCTAATGAAATTAACTTTTTATTAGTTTCTAAAAGCTGTTAAGATTTCATACTTTTTGGAAAAACAAATTTTTGGACAACCTGGAGTCATTTGGAATAACGAATTTTTGATAACAGCTAATTTTGACGGCCATTTTGTTTTCTTAAATTTCTAGTATGGCGTGCTGTGTTTTTTCTGTGTTTGTTTGTAACATTTGAAAAATGCTTATATTTTCATAAGATCTATATACATATAAAACTTCGGCTTTCTATCCTCAAAGGTGTAGAAGTTTTGTAAACACACACACAGACAGACGGACAGAAGGACAAACGGACGGACGGCCGGTCGAGTGAAACTCATAAGCACTTTTTTTCAAATTTTTTTTGGAAAAGTGCTACCAAAAGAAAAGAAAATAATTACAAAACCTTTCAGTTTTCTTTTAAAAAATCAATATTTTTGTTACAATGACTACACAAAGTTTTTCGCACCATTTTCGTTTAGAAAATCTTTTAAGAATGACTTCGAAGCCAATCTTATTGGTCTATTGTTCAAGTATTTATTTGAAAACAAATGAGAAATTTAGCACATGTGGTTCTTTCGTCAAAAAGCAAAATTAACAAATGAGAAATTTAGCACATGTGGTTCTTTCGTCAAAAAGCAAAATTAGCTTTTCGAATGGTTTCCAGATTAGCTTTTCGACTGGAAACCAGATTAATTTTAAATTTTTTGTCATTTTTGAAATTAAATATGACTGAATATTTGGGTTACTATATTTAAATTTTGTTTTTCTATCTCTATGTAAATTAAAAAAAAAATTACCTCTCTGTATTGTTCTTCTAGCATATGATACCGAGCCTGTAATACCGCATATTCAGTTTTAGTTCTCGTTGTACGATCGTCAACTGTACTCTGACTATCCGCCAAATCGGTAACTTGCCTCTGAAGAAGCTCCAACTAAAGAAAAGTAAAATAATGTTCTTATATCAATTATCAAATATAAGTGCGTATATTCATTAGCTACAAGAATATATAAACTGGTTTTAACCAAAGCATATTTGAAAATTCGAATAAATTAAATAACTTCCTGTTTTCCATATTAAGACACATGTTATAAGATCAGAAGCTTATATAAATATACTTTTTAATTATTTATTTTAAATTTGTTATGTTTTTTCCCTCTTTCGTATACACACACGGAAAAATGCAAACTTATATTAGCAGTAACTCCGTTTTAAGAAATTTTTATTGTATTATGATTTCCTATGACTTCATAACATTTTACACAAGAAATAAGAAAATTTCAAGCATTCTTTCAGTTTTATATTTTTGTTTTTTTACTTTAAATTATATTAAAGCTGACTTTACAATAAATATTAAAATTTTAAAACTTTTTGTGAGTTATTGTGAGAAATTCTATAGATATTTGTATTATTGAACTGATTTGCGGGCCGATTTTACATTTTTCACCATATCTACGGAACGAATTGATGGAATTTCTTGAAATTTGATATTTGAATTCTGGTCGTTACCGAAACTTAATGGCAAGCATTTTAGGGAATTCGGGTAGCACAAAACGAAACTGTACTAAGAGCCAAATTTGCATTTTTTTAGGTATGTTAACTATAAGCTTACTAATGTCCCAAAAATTGGAAAGACGTATTTAAAAGACATTTTCATAATATTCTGTAACCCTTTCACTTAACTAGACAATATACAATGCGGTCGGTTATGTGCTGACCACATCAGATTTTTTTTAATTGTGTATACAATAGGTAGGTTATGTGATTGTAACAAATTTTGCATATCCAGTTTTCGGTGGGAATACACTTCTCCATGGTAGGGAAGTGTAAATAAACTATTTTTACCAACCTGTCGGTCTGTCGGTCTATGTATGCACGCGTGTATCTCAAATTCGGCTGAAACGATTTTGATGAAATTTTATATGTAAGTTTATTTCGACCATGGTACGGATTGATCAATATATCAGGATATATCAGGGCTTGGATATATGTATCTTTTGGGATATATCAGGACCTGGGAACTATACTTTTTAGCGGGCTGTTTTACACTTTTGAACATATTGAAGAAAATATTCATATACATTTTTACGACACCGATTTTATTGAAACTTAATATATTAATTCTTCGTATTAAAACAGTGAAAACACAAATTTTTTGGAAAGATCAGGGCTTGAAAACTGATCTACGCGCCGATTTTACATTTTTTACTATATCTACGGAACGAATTGATGGAATTTCTTGAAATGTTATATTTAAGTTCTGGTTGTTACCCAAATTTCAAGGTAACATGGCAAGTTTTTCAGGGAATTCGGATAGCAGAAAGCGAAATTCTAACAAGAGCCAAATTTACATTTTTCTAGGTGTCTTTACTCTTGCTCATGTTCTAAGAATTGGAAAGAGGTATTCAACAGAAATTTTTATAATATTTCATTCAATAATACAGTAACACATTCACTTAACTAGACAATATACCTTACGGTCGGTTGTGTGCTAACCACATCATATTTTTTGTAAATTTTTAAGATCTTTAATGTTTCGCAAAAAATGAATCATTAACGAAAGAAAGCAAAAATACTAACACATGAAGTTTTAAGATCGTGAATATCACACAGTAACCCATCAATGTCCATTGAGATATAGTCTTCAAAATTTTCTAGATACATTTGAATACAAGATAACTTTGAATACATTGAATAACTTATTGTAAATTAAATTAATTCTTCTTATTATGGATTCATTTAAAATATTTTATTTGAATATTATGCTATGCATTATTATAATATAAAATTTTGTATTCAGTAACTTTATAAACAATCAAATACAACACGTTACATTCATACAAAGTCTCTATTGTTACTGATAGTTAATAAATACAATATCATATAAATAAAGAAACATAATATAATGAAGTTGGTTCAAACCAGTGGTTTGTAATGTAGCACTTTTCCCTTCAAGAAGTGAAAATACTGCTTTTAAAAACAATTTATCTGTACTTACTAAACTATTAAAATTACTTTCATTCACATACGAAACTATTTCAAGGATTAAAATAAAACAAAAAATATTTAAAGAGGTGTTAACATAATGCTTGATTTAAAGTTTTGTGTGAGTTATGAAAAAAAAAATTATATTTTTGACTGAAATGGGATTTACCGTTAGCTTTCTGCGTTTATAGAAATTTGAAAAACGTTATACAGTATTAGAAATATAAGGTGCCGAAAATTAAAATTTTTCAAATTTCGAGGGGGGATAACTTGAAAGGAGATGGAAGTAAAACCCGTTAAAATTTCAGACTTTTACCATGTGGGATCCAGAAGAAAAACGATATCAAAAGGTTTGAGAAAACGGATTTTAGATAACGTTATATTTTAACGGCCATTTTTATACCCATACGAACGTACACTCGGAGGGTACACAGAATATGTCCTACCGTTTGCAACGTTAAAAAGTAATGGTCTAAGATATAGAGTATGTTTTTGATCAGCGTTCAATTTTGAGTCGATTTAACTTTGTCTGTTCATATGTCCGTCTGTCCGTCCGTCCTAACGATAACTCAAAAACTGATTGTTCGTCCATTCTTCACAAATGATTCATTATAATAAATGGCAGAACCCTATTTTAATTGGCTATGATCGCAGTACTGGTTCGGGTACCTGACATAGAGCTTCCAAAATAAATTATATCTCAGAAAATATAAAACCTGTGGTATTGAAATTTCGCATAAGCAAATATATTAGTAGGGTCAATATGTTGATAAACTTCGTTGAAGTTCAAATATGGTAGACCAGGTCACTGCTTTTCTACGTTTGCAAAAATTGAAAAATATTTATGGCTTCATTACAACAAATATTTAAAAAATGGCATTTTTAGATTTTTGTGGGAAAGAGGTTTGAATTAACTTTTAGAGGGAAGAGTAGGTTCTTCTACAGAAATTAATTTTCAGTAAAGATCTGGCGTATGTACATATGAAATTTCAGATTTCTATCTTCAAGGACATAGAAGTTTTGTAAACATGTCCACAGAGGGACGGACGGACGGACAGAGTGACAATAATAAGCGCCTCTTTTAAAAAATTTATTGGAAAAATGCTAAAAAGAGAAATATAAAAAAGAAACAGTTTTGGAAATGAAGCTCTAAAATTACAACGAAAACAAACAAAAAGTATTCATTAAATAAAAAAAAAATACTTATGGTTAAATAATTGTTCTTAAATAAGTACATATTGTTATAATCAAATTCTCAAAATACTAAAAAATTATTCTGACAACAAAAAAATCCAAAAGTCGTCAATTAAAAAAACTGAAGTAGTTTTATTTATAATTTTCGAAATATTATTGTGTTACTTTTTATTTCTTACTACATTATACCTAAAGTGCTTTCAGCATAAAGTAGTAACAGTACAAGTGCGTTTAAAATTCATAACTCGTTCAACAAAATACATTATTTGTAGGTAATTTGAATTTTTTGAAAAAGTAAAATCGGTACAAAATTATAAAATCTCTATAACAATTAATAGTTTCATTTTTGTAAAAGTTTTAGAAATGTGCTAAGAAATGAAGACGGACATTCAGGTGAAGTGAAAACTTCTTGAACTATTTAAAAGAACGCGAGAAATATTGCGTTTTTCTAACAAAACAAGCGGTAAAGTTTTTAATAAGGTATTACGGTATACAGATATACATACCATGTATAGAGTAACTATGGAATTTTTTCTTCTCTCTTTACCGACCGCATTGTGTTATGTGATTGCAACAAATTTTTCATATAGAGTTTTCGGTGGGAACGCACTTCTCCATGGCAGGGAAGTGTAAAGAAGCTATTTTTAGCAATCTGTCGGTCTATCTGTCCATGTGTGCACGCGTGTATCTCAAGTTCGGCTGAACCGATTTTAATAAAATTTTATATTTCGGTTTATTTCGACTATGGCACGGATTGATCAACTTTTGGGATATATCAGGCCGCGGGAACCGCACTATTTCGTGGGCCTGTTTTACAGTTTCGATCATTATGAAGAAAATATTCAACAGGTTTACTTGAAATTTCACATATAAGATTCGCTCGAGCGCTCGCGAAATCACCTAACTTTTAGAGCATATCAGGCGTCAGCAACTGGACGTTTACTACAGGCCAAATATACAATTTTGCGTATATAAAGAGAAATAATCAACCGTTTTCATTGAAATTTAATATTTAAATTTTTCATATTAAAGCAATGGACATAAAAATAAAATTTTTGGAAAGATCAGGGCTCGGAACTGATTTGAGGGCCGATTCTACATTTTTTACCATATCTACGGAACGAATTGATGGAATTTCTTGAAACTATTTAATATTGGCACTTTTATATTGTAATACGTTATAGTTCAAAGTGGTTCAAAGTAGTTCATAGTTCATATTTGCTTCGTTTTTAGTTATTTTAAATTTTTGATTATAGGACTTTTTTTTATTTGCAAACATTTTCACGCTAACTTTTTAGTCACACTTTATGATTACAGTTGTAGTATGCAAAACAGTACAGAGTAATTGTATAATAGCAAAGATATTATTTTAAATAAATTATACATGTTCTACTGATTGAGTAGTTATTTCTAATTTATATGCCGTAACATAAGCTTTTACGTATTACCAAAATAACATACTATAAAACAAGTAGAATATTCTGTATGGAATTTAATATGTATTATATATTTTTGGCGAAAAAGAAAAAGTTAAGTTAAACTTTGTAAAACTAAAATCCTCAGTGGTATTTTTAGCTCTTTTCCAAAAAATTTTTGAAAAAAAGTGCTTATTAGTTTCACTCTATCCATCCTTTCGTCCAAGATAGAAAGCTAAAGTTTTATATATACATAGATCTTTACTAGAAATTTATTTCCGTAGAACAAAATTTTCATCTATCTCATCGCCTCTAAAAGTTATACCGACTAAATCCTCAA